TACTAAGATGATCCTGGTAACTAGCAAAGCTAACATCAAGGATGAACAGGTCTTTATTATGCTACTGAGTTACCTTCCAAATTATTAGCATCACCAGGAGCTAGGAGCACATTTCTCAGTCATCCAGACAATTAAGATAATTCTAGCTTTTGTAATTTGTTCCCGACAGCCTGAGACATCAGTAACAGCACAGAGACTTTGTGCACATCATTTGGCAGCTTGAGGCCTGGCACACTCTGTCTCTGCCAGTCCCACCCAGAGATCCAGGCAGCCGATCCAACTGGCTCAAGAAGCTACCAGGACTCTTCAAGAGTGTTTAATCCAGGCTGATTGAAAGCCAAAAAAATTAACTCTGCCCATAAAGGACGGAGCATGATCCTTTCAAGTGTTCCATTTATTTATACTAGCTTGTGGTCACTGCCTCCAAGAAGATATGCTAGAACTAGGAAAGGACCAGAGCAACAGCATAGGTCAGTGGTACACAGAAAAGCTCTCAAGTCAGGGGAGGCTGGGCAACATAAATCTCTGACTGGGGCAATGCTGGAGATTCATAAAACTATAAGCATGCAGAAAAAGGAACGATTATTCTCCAGATATTACTATACAAAATCTAGAAGACACCAAAGGAAATCTCAGGTAGCTAGTGATGAAAAAAAGGGATAATCAGCACCTTTTCTTGTGGTATACAATTAAACCATGAGACCCATTACCCAGGATACGATGAAGCCAAAAGTATAAACATGTTCCAAAACACAACCAAGGAGGACAGTCCTCTTGGACCACAGTTTAAAAGCCATCAGACCCATATTTTTTCTCAAAAATCCCTAGACATCTGAATTTTTGGAATCAAGAAGATAAGGATCATTTTATCCATACCTTGTTCTCCATTCTTCCCCTCAGCAGCCACCCCATTACACCAGCTCCAGCTAGAGAGGTTGTCTGTAGTTTAACCCAGTACAGCAGTTCTTCAGGCTATTGTATTCAAAGTCCGGGACACCGGGAGAAATCTTCCCATGAGCTCCGACGGGAACAGGTCTGAACCCTCAAGGCCCTGAATCCAGGCTCATAGCTTCATCCACTGCCATCTGAGGGGCTTGTACGTAGGGAGGACTTTGTTCCCAAGACAACTGTGGATTTCTGCGGTTTCCACCCCAAGACAGGTTGCAGCAATAAAGTAAAAAGTCCCTTCACTCCTACCTTGGGAAAAGTGCATTAAGATCATATAGTCCCAGGCTAGTTGAGAAATTGCGGTTTTGTGTGATTTAGAGCTGCTAATGGGTGATGTCATCACTGGAACGAATGCAATCCCACAAAAATGTGAAAATAAAATGAGCAGGAGCTATAAAATATAAGTGTCTCTCTCCACAGTGGCAACAGGCACATCACAGCAGGGCAGCTTTCCTCGATACTCATCTACAACTGGAGGAGTTTACAAGAAATAACTTAAAAAATTACAAAGGAAACAAAACCCTTCAAGGAGCAGCAATCTATTATTTTTCCAGGCCTTTATTAACAGCAAACCAGCATGCTTCCTTGAAAGTAAATGAGAAAAAGGCATCACAGCATTGCTGTGGAAAGAAACTGAGGGAGTGTTTTCTGGAACAACAAACCAAGCCATTTTGGGCCACTATCTGTTAGACTCCAGTTTAGCTCAATAGGATATTGATCCTGGCTGTATATAACACAGCCCTAATTTATTTTCTGATTAACAAGTTCTACTGTCTGATTTTGACAAAATGTCCATCATCACATGCAAATAAAACAAATATGTATTTATCAGTAATGGCAGTGTGCAGGCATTAAGTAGCAAAAAGTGGATTTGGAAAAAACAGGTGGAAAGGGTTACTGCATGATCACTGTAATATTTACATAAGGGTAAGTTCAATAAATGCAGAGCCTTCCCCCACAGCCTCCTCCAAAACACACCCAGACACTGGCTGGCCTTCTTCCTACGGAAACAGCTAACAAGAGCAAAGCTGCTCTTTGCTTTTATGGGTTTTAGCTAAAAGCTGAAAGTGAGATCAGATTTTCTGACATTCACCATTTACCTTAATAAAAATGTGCACTCAACAGGATTAGCAAGTACACAACTCTGCATGTGGTATCATGAAATGCATTTTCTTGACCATTCGTGCTTACACAGAAAAAACAGAGAAATCAAAATCCCTCTATGATATTGAAGATCAATGTGAAACTGAGCTTAGGAACTGAATGCTGATCACTGCCTGGGAAACATGAATTAACATTTTCAAGTAGAAATCTTGCACATATGGCAAAAGAAAGCTTTTGATAGAGTAGTAAAATGATATTTCAAAACCTGATGTCCTACTTATCTATATTTATAAGAACACATTAAATACGAGTTTAGCGCTGTCCTTTTCTATTATTCTCTAATAAGTTACAGAACCTGCTTGATTATTTTTTGAAACACACAGATCGGAGAATACCTTCCACAGAAATGAAAATTAAGGTCCCACTTGTGTCACCACCTCACAGCCCCTCCCTGGAGAAACAGCCAGATTTGTCAGTAGTAAATGTTCTTCCTCAGCAACCTGCCTTTAAAGTCTCGATACAAAAATGCCAGGATGATGTCCACCTCCAAGAAATGGCCTTGCTCAGACTTCCCCTTGCTAGCCGAGCCAGGGTAGGCAACGGGCAGGTGAAAGGTTTTCTGGACAGTGAAGGAAGCCCAAGGAAGAGGAGCTCCTGCTTTCTAGCACAGACCCATGGCAACACAGGAGTGAGCTAAGAACATAATAAGAATCTAGGAAATTCAGAGCAAAACACAACAGGCTACAGAGAAAACACTAATTCAATCCCCTGTGTGAAGCTGCAGATCTTCCAGCAGTATTTCTCTACTGTAGGTCCCTCCACCTCATGAACTGGGTTTGGAAATACAGCCCCACGTTCAGGAAAGCATTTATCTAACCAAGCACATGAGTAACCCTGTTATTTTCAGTAGGGCCCCCCTAGACACCAAAAATTTGGCATGAGCACAGGCGCCTTGCTAAATGCAGCCCTTGAATTACAGGATTAGAGGTCTGTGGATTTCCTCAGTGGAGATGACTCTTGGACTTAATGTCAATCAGTTTACACTTTGCCTTCCCTGCATTGCCTGCCTGGTGGGAAGTCCATGTACAAGACAATTTCAATACAACCCAGCTAGTATCACCATTGGAAACCAGCAGCTTTGATGTTAACAGGATGGTACTTCAAAAGAATACGCATGTTTGCAGATGGCAACAGGATTCCTTATTACAGCTGTCTAATCAAGGCGATATTCCGCAATTATGCTCAGAGATCAAACAGCACTGCAAATAGCACTCACAATAAAACCAGCACCAGTAAGATGTTGGTGTCACACCTATAGCATCGTGCATTCAGTTGCGATTCCACAAGCATGGCACACACACACAATGTTTCAGCTACTGTTGCAAAACTTTGAATGTCTCAGTCACAGCTAGCCAGTTTAAAAAAAAAAAAACAAAAACAAAACTATTTTGATTCTCGGCCTGTGTTTATGAAAAAAAAAACCCAAATCTAAAACACGCCTAAACAAATAACAATATGGCTGTAATTCAGAAAAGCTTTTATGTATAGCCTTAACTTTAAGTACAGAACCACTGAAGTCAGCTGAATTCGAACATGTACTTGAATACTTTGCTGAAGGATAAATTAAAGCACTTGCCAAAGTCCTTTCCAGAATCAGGGCCCTGATTTTTTTATTTATTTATTTTTTTACAAACACACAAAAGGGCATAGTGCTAACTAGGAATCAGAACATAACATCGGTGTGAATAATTGTAGCATCTGTGCTAATTCTCTTTTCAGCCTGGTACCCCCTATGCTTCCAAGTATGTAAATCTGATTCTCCTTGTGGCTCCACTGAAGTTTCTGTTGATTAAATACACAGCCCCAGCAGCAGAAGAATCAAGCCCTGCATATTTATTTTCTTCCTCTCAATACATAAAGAATTCCCTTTGGCCTCTCAATTGCTATATCACATGGTGCACTGAATGCAAATAGAATTACAGTGATAATGTATCTAATGAATACATCTGTATATGTATGCAAGCATTTTCCTAACAGCATCCTACTCTATGCCACTAATCAGACCAAAGAATATATATGTTCATCACACACAGTAGCAGAGAAGGTGTGTGAAATGAGTGCATATTAATAACAAGAGCCAGACTGCAGTTTTCAGAGGGAAAAACTAACTGAAATACTTCCAAGATGAAAGCTGCAAGATCAGGACCTCAAGCAGACCTTTGGAACATTTCCTTTGGAGCTTTAAAGCACTATTTGTAGGCTGTAAGTGTTACTTAATGTTTGTATTTTCATTATTCACTAGCATTACACTACATTTATATAAATAGATATAGAAACTGTTGCAACGTGTAACATAAAAACATTGTAAGCGTTTCCAAGAAAGAAATTAGTGATATCATTTCAAACCAGGGTACAAAATGCACAGGTAACATTTTCAGCTCTGTCCTCTGTAAGACATGCACCCTCTTTGAATTATTTTTTAGGGAAGTTATTTTATAGCAGACCAAATTCATTCCTACAGAAACTTCATTGGTTTCTGAGTTGCAAGAGCTTAAAAATGGGGTGCATTTAATTTGTTAGCTCACTCCATGTTGACTTTTAAAGTTATCCTGTAATGTCAGAAGATAGATAGATTTAAATCAGGTTTAAGTACCTAGTGGCAATTAGAACCTGCAGAGTCTGAGAAATGTCAGTAAACATCTGGATAAGACACATGCCAGCATATATACAAATAAATACCCTCAAAACCTCTTTTTAGTTGGTTCAAACAGTGCTTTGGAAGTGACTCATTCAGCACAACAGCCATTATTTAAAGACAGTAAGGTCAGAAATGCAGGGTTTTAGTACTATTTCACTAAAAATCACTCCCACCCCAATCCACAGTTAAAAAACAACACAAATCAAAGCAGGAGTTCCCCTTAAACTTAGGGTCAGAGGACGTCACTTACCCTGTGAGGACCACGACAAAATCCATCACGTTCCAACCGTTGCGGAGGTAAGAGCCTTTATGAAAAACAAACCCTAGAGCGATGATTTTTATACCAGCTTCAAAACAAAATATTCCAATAAAGTACGGCTCAGTGTCATCCTGAAAAAGAATAAAAATCAAAGGTGTCAGGGAGATACCTATGCTTATGCACTGATAGTAAGAGTCATACAAACTACAGGCACCAACTTCATGCCTTTTTCAGCTCTCTGAGCAGAGTTGAAACCAAAAGGTTTAAGTTTACTGGAACTAAGCATAGAGAAGAATTTCATTATTATTTCTCTGAAGGCAAATTTTTTTCACATTGGAAATTCTGTTTACCTTTATTCTGATCATTTCACCCCATGCTTTCTACCTTTACTCAATATTCTGGAGGGAATCTTAAATACTGAAGTTTTGCTCTAAGGGTATATTTAAACTTGAGATCACATATTTCTGTAATTATTGACATGGAAGAAAACACGTGCTTTACAATTCATCCAGGAAACTGAAACAAGATGATATCTTGGGGAGTAACAGTCAGCACAGCAAGCTTGCAGACACTGGCAGGAAATTATTTATTTATCATTTATTCCATCAGTTCTTCCTTCATACTTTCTCCTCCATCTTCTCAATTTCCACAGCTGCAGACTCATTTGTTTTTCTTTCACTGTGTATCGGATTCAGGGAGAAATCCCCACTCCCTTCCATTAACAGCAGAAGCAGTAAGGTTTGTGCCTCAGGCCCAGGGTGCAGACTAAAGCATACCATGGGATCACAGCTTCCTGTCCTAGCTCAGAAGAGAGAAAAATCAAGCTTAGTCTCCACAGTTTTACTAAACCTTTTTTCATCTATGGCACCAGATCCCTCAGTATTATACTTTATTGATAAGAGTTTCAACACAAATTCAATGCCAAATGGAAGCATTCACATTTGGAAGAAAGATGTGGGCAAGTAACGGGCATCAATTTCAAGAACATGTTAATTAGCTTTGGCACCTGTAACCAATTTTCAAATGTGCCTTAGAACCCTGATTTCAGCTGAAGTCAATGGAGGCAAAGCAGCCCCACCCAAAAGGGAAATAAACTCGCAAATTAAGAGATTAGAAATGTTTGTTCCAGTGGCTTTAGCATTTCTGACCATCAGAGCCAAAGAGATGAGCTGCTGTTCGATGCACAGTTGTTTACATTTTGCAATTCTACTAGTGACAAAAGGTGATTTTAGTTCTCTTATACAGAAAGAACATGAATGTCAAGTCTTGTGGCCACAGAACAAGAAGCAGCAGTTTTGACACAAGAATTTTACAGGCATGGCAACTCTTGCTCAACTCTGACCCAGCACTGGCACACAGACCCATGCTTTAGGCATAGTACTTGTTACAGAAAGACAGGTTTTTCCCACCTAGAAGACCAGTATAACAGCATACCCCTCCCAAAGAGGCTTACATGCTTAGCACATCACTGTATACCCAACTCAGCAAGTCAGTCACAAAGCACCAATCACTGAAGATGCTTCCAAGCTACTGGAAACTACTACTTCTGGACAGGCTTTTTCATCAGTGGCTGAATTAAAGTTTTGTTTCCTACAAAGGAACACCCCGCATCCCTACACAGCTCAGTGATCCAAGCTCCTCCGTATACTTCATCCTTCACCCTATGTCATGTCTACTCCCCTCTACCTTTCCTAACCTCACAGCCCCAGCAACTCCATCTCCCATTCCTCTACAGCCAGGCAAGATGACCAGTCACAAGCAGATCACACACACACACACGCTAACTGGCCAGACAGCAAAACAGAGCAGGTGACCGTTGAGCTCACACTGTAGGCCCTTGGCTGAAATGGAGGAGAAAAAAAGCAAACCCAAAACTAGCTTCTCCTTGAAAATGCTGTTTCCACAAACAGCAGCACCTCCAAGCCTTCTGGCCCTTCACAGAGCCTCACTGACACTGCTCAAAGGATACAGAAGCTATCACCAACAGACTGAGAAGCTCCAGCTGCCCATCTCAGTGCTATTTACCCACAGAGAAGCAGGAACAAGGCAAGGCCATCAGACCTTTTATGACCTTCAACAGAAATCCTACAGTAAGATTCTCCTTCCAGCAGTTTCTCCACAGCAAGAGCTAGAGGCATCCCAGGACTCCAACCCAGTACAGAAAATAGGGAAGAAGGAAGACAGGGCCAGAAATCATCACATGTGATTTCAGGAGAAGTTACCTTACTGCTCCCCTGCTTTCCCTTATGCACACAGGAGCACCCTAACAGCTTCATCTGCCTGCTCTTCAACCCCACAACACCTTCTAGTTCAACAAGTATACAAAATCTTTGCAAGCAAAGACCTTCTAGCCCATCCTATATTTTCATCCCACAACTACTAGCATGCCTCTAAAAATAGCTCTTCTAACACACACAAAGAATACACCTTTACCCATATACACTCCCCCTCATTATTCCCTCACTTCCTGGAAGCCTTATAACTACTCTGCTACCAGCTGTTTGCTCAATCTAGGTCAGGTGCCTTGTGATTAAGGTACAGCTCCCAGCTTTAAAGACCCAGACATCAGGTACTCAAGGGCTTGATAGAATATGCTCTTCCCAAAGCTAGGACTACACAGAGCTCTTAGGAATTGGGTCAAAGAAGTTCTTGTCAGCTTCTAGGGAAGCAGGAAGACTCACAGATGGGCTTGGGTATTTATTACAAAGAAAAACTGTGATCTGTAGGGTTGGCAGGGAGTAGCTGGGGAAATAACAGGGGATAGAAAGAGGGTCTTTTCTAAAGCCTGTCTAAATTTACACTGATTTAGCCTAAGAATCAGGGCAGTAACAACGGGATGAAAAATAAAATTTATGCCCCATTAGGTAGTGGGACCTGCTGCTGAAAAAAAGGATTCACATGACTGTGTGTAATGGAAGGAGCTGGAGGGCAAGGACATGAGTGACATGCCCTGTGCAGTGTTGAAATGGCACTGCTGTTGACTCAGAAATCCTGCTGCTGGGGCATCCTGCAGCCCCCTTCAGACAGAAGGCTGTGTTGCTGCTTGGGTTCAAGAGTGGGAAAGCAGGTGATAATGAGTATCAGTGTGTGTGCTTGGAAGGAGGGTGGAGAATTTGGGCAGCAGCCAGAGCTGTGCCAGGAGGTTGTTTGCTGTGGACACAGCAAAGCTTGAGACTGGGCCAAACACGCATTTAATCAATATGTTTCAGATCAGAAACAACTTCTGTGTCTGGAAAGTCATTACTATTCCTAGTCCATGTCCTAGTGGCTTTCCTTGGCCTTTGGATGTGACAGCCTTAATAGGTTTGGGTGTGTAAGGCTTTGTTCATGCAAAGGTTAATATGAACAGCTCGCATATGACTGCACGAAGTGCCTGTGGATAGGATAAAGAATTAAATCCATTAGTAAAGTGCAAGAGCTGTCATGCTGAGTAGCTGAGGAAAGTTATATTCTGCCCTCACATCAAAAACATGCAGGGGAGCCACACACTCAGAGCCCTACAGTGACATGCAGACGAACATCCTACAGACCCACTGGTGTCCTCAAACAGGGTGTGCCCCAGAACAGGGCAGAAAATAGATTTCCTGTCCTGCAAGTTCTGATATTGTCACGGTCAGGCTGGGACAAACCTATGGTCTACTGAAGCTTCTCATGAAGAACTGAGAAATTAGGAAGGAGACAGGGAGAGAACAAGTGTGCCTCAGTCTGGACAGCCAAGAACATCACAAGCAGGGCATCTACCTGCAAGGCCATTCAGGGCTCAGATGTGAAGTTCACATTCCTACTTTTGGAGCTCTCAACACCAGGCTCTGGGCCACTCAGTACAACTCCCCCAGCATCTTTTCAGTTGGCATCACTCCAGTGTGTACAAACAATGCAATATTTATTGGGACAGAGAGAGACGGACTCTACAACCTATTGGCTAAGGTACTCAGCTGAGATGGACAGTAGCAAGTTTTTAGCATCTCTGTTCCAGTGGATAATTACTGATGTGAAATAAACACTTCCAGCAGCCAAAGCATGAGAGACTCCCAGCTCAGAGCAGGCAAGAACCTAGGGTGTAGGTCATTCTGCTGCTAGTGGAAGAAGGAGCTTATTTCTCTTGTCTAAAGAGCAAGGACTTGAAGCCAATGCTCCGGTTCACCACTAAATGCTTTGACCACCAAACTGGTGTTTTTTCAGAGCCCTGGTTTTGATCAGAATTTCTATCCTAGAGTCAAGTAATGTTTTTCTGTGCTACAAACTACATGCAGAAAATTGGCAGAGAAAGATTATTCATAACTCAGCCATTCCAATTCTTGAAACATTGCATATACTGACACATCACTTGCTCTTCCCATGTGCTTAATTAACCCTGCTTGACAAGTAACACGAGCACAGAAAACAGCCAAGTGAGATTGCACTGCAGGATCATATCTTGGGTCTCTGGGGAGACACATAGAAGAAAATTTTGATTAGAAGAGAAAAATCATGAAAATACTTGTATGGACTCCTCCCTCTTTTTCTCAGCTTTAACGAACAGACAATCTTAACATTTTTGTCTTTGTATCTGTGGCACAAAGTATCCGGGCAGCTTTGGTTTTCCTTCAACAGGTCTGCCTACAGTTCCTGGTCATAAAAGGCTTGTGATGTGTATCTCATACCCTTAAGATCTGATTCACTCTTCAGTGATGAGCCCTCACTCCAATTTGGAGACTTTAATAAACTCAGGAGAAGGAAAGGTATATCCATAAATCATTAACCAAAAAAGGGAAATTCCATTCCTGCCAAACACAGCAATAAAGCACCTGTTGTTCTGCACGGACTTATAATTTGGCTCAACAAGCCTGTAAATGTATGGGAATGTTTGCCTGCTGTGGTTTAGCACAGATTTGTAACATTTTCAATGGAACAACTTACAGTTTGTGGAAGTGGCAGGAGCATTCTAAAGAGGTTTCACTTGGAAAACCAGAAGACAGTTCTTCTTATTCACAATGCTTAATCTTTCCAGCATATGTTGGAAATAGAAAATATTTCATGGCTTGTAAATATTCTTAGTGTTATTCTATGATAAACCCCTTTATATTTCAGTATTACAAATGTGCTGTAGTTAAAATTACTTCCGAATGTCTGGATCAAAGACAATGCTGCACAATGGTGTTTGGGACAAAAATCAGGGGTTAATTCTTCCTTCATCACCAAGGCAGAGCCAACAAGGTGGAGACTGTGCACTTAACTCATACCATTATCTTACAATATTCAGTGGTAATGCCAGTGCCCCCCTTGGGAATGATTTGGGCAGGAACTGAAGTTGTGTGTGCGGTACTGGGTCCTGTAAAATGAAATTAATACAATGGGGAAAAGGACCAATAAAAAGCCTCTAGGATCCCCTTACAAATCTAGGGATATAGAAGAACATGGAAACTGTGTGCTAACCATACCTACCAAGCCAGAACATCCACAAAACTACTTTTCCCCTTCACTAGTCCATATGTTCTTAACTACGGAAGGTAATTCCTCAGCTGGATCATTACCCTGGGTCTAAACCTGTGCTATGCTCACAAACCCAGGCTTGCCTTGCTAGCCAATCCCAAAACATACAAAGACATGTTTAATGACAGAAAGATCAACATACATGCATGTTCTTAAATTTTTCCCTCACCTCTTCCTAAGTAGAAATAATTCAAACGGAAAGGCACTAAGTGAACACAATGTAGGTGGATCCATTTCCAAACAGGCAATATCAACTAGCTGACCCTGAAACTCTTTCTAGATCTGTCACTTACACACTTTTTCCTGTTTCTGAAGAATAAGACTGAGAGTTGCCCACTGGTATGGACCACCTTTGAAACTGTAACAACCAGCATTCAGAGGCTCTAGCTTTTGGCAGCAAGCCTAATATTATCTTTGTTTGCATAATTTAATGTCTATATGTAAAACACATATGGATCCATATTTATTCATCCTTTGAACATGCACCGGGATTAATGCATGAAAGGCATGAAAGATGTTCCAGATCATTAACAGCAGGAGAAAAATCAAACCAAATATTACCCATTTTTCCTACAGTGATGATAAATGGAAGAATGATTTTAAAGCTATTCTTATATTTTCTTTTGAAATAAGGTAATTGGGCTCATTACCATAAAGCCTGCAGGTAAATTATTTTCCTCTGTAAGTCGGTTTCTTTTTTTGGAAGGGAAGTGTAATCATCTAAACCCAAAGTTTCCTTTGTAGGGTCCTTGATATATGCTGTAGCAGGAAGATAGCTGAAAGACATACGAACCTAAAAGGTTACTCTGTTCTACCACTTCCTGAGAAAATATCACAGAAGTTCATTTGATTCTACAGATAATTCTGAGCATTTGGCAGTCCCTTCCTGTCTTGGTTTATAGACAACCTAAGTTTGCTGCTCTTCTGATCATAATGTAAGGGCCATCTCTTCTCCTGCAATTGGGCAGGGCTGGCTAGAGTGATGAAGCATTCTTGTGAAGATGGGATTGGGAGGTTAGAGTTATACTTGTTGTCACTGACTTATTTTTTTCTGATTATCAGGTCAATGCCCATTTGTTTACATGTGGATCTTTAAAATAGATACAAGCACTCACAACACTGAGTGGCTGACTGCTTTTTGCATTAGACTGAATACAAAAAATGTAAATAAGTGTATACAACTCACCAATCTCTCTGACATAGGTGTCTTGTCTCCATCCGGCAAATGTTGTTCCAGGGCCAGCACAATACAATTGGCTATGATTGTAGCTAAAATCATGTATTCAAATGGCGTGGGGACCAGAAGTTAAAGAAAACACTAGACCACACAAGGAGAACCTTATCCAAATCCCATTTCTACTTAAGCGGTTACATTAGTTGAGCATTCTAAGATGTCTCATCTTTTTTAAAGCTGTTTAGTCTCTTTGACTTCCTCAGTTCTTTCTGGGGTGTCTTTGGAAGAAAAGTAGGAAATTGGCTCTCTTCTTTGAGAGAGTTAGTGACTTAGAATCTCAGCTGCTCAAGGAATTTGGGAGCAAGAAAGCAAAAGGTCCAAAGGGAACAAAAAGCAATTAATAATTATTGTTTTTAAATGAGATTGATAAGCTGAACTGCCCCAAAATAGATTATACAGCGGAATGACATCTGCTGAACTGTTCTTCAGAAATTCCCTGTCATTTAACTTAAGCGCATAGTGTAAATAAGCGATGGGCTAGAAAAGTTCTATTTAGAGTGTCTACGCAGATCCAAAACATGAACCACTGCTAGATTGCAATGCCTACTCCCGGTGAGACTAAAATCGCCAGCGCCCTACCGGGAAGTACGAGGGAAAAGATCTCACGGGAAAGAAGGCAAACCCGACACTAGGTACCCCCTTGCCTTTCCCCGTCGTCTCTATCCCAGAGCCGTGCCGAGCCCTGCACTCCCAGGGCGGAGCCGCGCCGCGGGCGGCGGCGGGGCCCCAGGGCGGCGGAGAGCTCCGCTCAGCACCGCGGACAGCTCCGCCCGTTCAGCACCGCGGGCGGCTCCGCTCGTTCAGCCCGCCCGGCCGGCAGCTCGCCCCGCAGCTCCGGCGTGGGGAAGGGCTGGTGGCTCTGCTGAACCCGCTGACTCCGCAGAGCTGTGGGTCCCCTCCCCACACTTCACGAGAAAGACGCAGGCGAGTCGCCCAAGAGACCGGAGAGGGCTAGACTGCGTCTAGCCTTGCAGGAAATGCGATGCTCTGCCTGCCACCGGAGCTTTGGAGCTCGTTTATTCAGACTTGAATGCAGGGAAGGAGAAATGGGTGAGGAAGGACAGCAATCCCTGTGATTTTGTAACAGGGACAGAAAGATCAATATGGGTGTGTGTTCAGGGGCACGGGAAGTGCATTCACTCTACTGGTGTATTTTTTTCCTGCTAGCCCCTCAGGAAGTGAAAACTGGGGAAGCCTGAAGGAGAGCTGGCCTCTGTGGCAATTGAAAGTGTTGCTAGGAGGCTGGGAGGAGGCCTTGCTGCTGTTAGCTGAGGATTAATAGGTGTGTGATATCAAATGAAAAGAAAACAACCAGCTCCCGTGAGGTCACCAGTGTAATGCACTCCTGTACACACACGCACATGCGCGCACACACACACACACACTATATCTACTCCCTGGTAACCTCAAATAGTCTGCTTCCCTTTTCTTATGGCTTACAACCCCACTGTGAACATCACTAGAAGCAAAGCCCCCTTCTGAGGAAGATCTCTGCAGCTCACTTGGCCCGGGAGCTGGTTCTGAGACAGAAGGCATCTGCCCCTTTCCCAGTACAGCAGATGATCCTTCTCTCCACTTACTGCCTCCCTCTGCCACAGAGCTTTTCTTTTTTCTTTTTCTTTTTTTTTTTTTTTTTTAGTACAGCCTAAGCTTAGGCTAAGCATCTAATCAAAGTGACAAGATTCATGTTGATTCTAATGGATTCAGGAGGTGATGTACTAAAAACCTAGCTGCAATGATTGTATTAATGGGATTCACAAGGTACCTTGGCTATCAACGTCCCTACTATGAATGCAGCTTTAATGCTAAGGTGTCACCATTTTTTATCCCACGTTTCTCCTTCTGTTCAGAGTGAGAAAGAAGAGTTGAAAGGCTCTAAGATGGAAATAAGACTCATTAGCATGACTCTCACAGAACCCTTTGCATTTGCCTTAAATTGTAGGTAATGTAAATCTGTGCAACTGTATATCTCACAGCTTAAACACACACTGAAATGCACGTATGTCTTTTACACACATCCCTGGCATAGTCAAGAGCACACTCCATCATTCCCACAGAAGCAATTTCCTATGATACCCAGCTACACAGCCGTACATTATGTCGGACACACGGATCCATGTCACACACCCATTACACACACTGGATCACACACGCACATCTACATTAGCACCAGACACTCATCCCTAGCTGCCTCAGGGATCTCTTCCCCCCAGTCTCCCTCTCCCCCTCCCCACCATGCCCACACACCCTCCCTGAAAGGATATGGCCATTCTGTTATTCTCTTGGCGTATTTCCGTATAACATTATCTTCACTGAAGATGAAGAGGGATCTGTTGACTGTGAAGCAGTTCTGTTTGACAGGGATGGGGTTGTAGAGAGCCATAGTCCTGGCCCTCTGAGCCATCGACTGCTTATACATCCTTTGGCCGGCTTGGGGGCCACCTTGCCGGCTGCTCCCTCTTCCAGCCCCGGCCGGCCCTCCACCTCCATAGCGGGTTGGCAGATCATCCCCAAACCGAGCCATTCTCTCAGTGCACGGAGCCGGGCGCTACAATCCAAACTGGCAGCCGAGGCGAGAGGAAGACGCATCACAGCGCGCAGCACTTCTCCCTCCGGCGGCTTCAGTTGCGGGATCGGAATCGATCGCGGTAAAATATATAGGTATATTTAAAAAAAAAAAAGTGTATATATATATATATCCCTCTCCCTTCCTCCACCCCTTCCTATTCCCCGCCGCTGTGGCTGCCCGGGGGAGGAGGAAGGCTCCGGGGCTCCGCTCACCTCCCCGCACAGGTGCCGTCTCTCCGGCCCGACCTCATGGCCGGGGCGGGCGGGGTGGCCGGCAGGGCGGGCGCGGCCCCTTCCGCGCTGACCGGGGGGGGCTCCGGGCCGGGAAGGGGCTGCGCTGCTGCCGTGCCCGCCGCGGGAGAGCTCCGCCGTGCCCAGCCCAGCCC